ACTTAAACTGAAATAATACTTTTTTTATTTTTTAATTTTTAATATTTGTAACGTATGTCCTCCCTGTCAAGAATGGCATGAAATGTTCTGAAAATTAAACACATACAACAAATGAACCAAATATTAGCATTACACAATTTAGGCTATCAGATTTGTGCATCTTATTTACACGTCACCTTTTCTTTTATCTAATTGAACCATGGAAATTCCATGGATGTTGATAACTAAGATTATCCATTATTATAGCCAATACTATTCCTTCAACCTGTGCATGTTTCTTCTCATTGTCTCCCTTATCCCTTTCAATCATCATGTTTTTATCCAAAGCTTATACAAACATGGATTAGTTTTACATGGGGGAAAAAAAGAATGCAGAATGTGCAAATATTTTCCACTGCATCTTTCTTCACTTTATTCCTTCTTCTATCTGCATAAAGAATTCTAATATTTCACAATTTTAGTGCCTTTATCTCCCAAAAACCTTTTGATCAAATATCTCTTGATATTCAGCTAGCAAAATTGTGCATACCTGTTTTTCTTTCATTTCTGTCTCTTCCCTAATCTATATTCTTTTTCTTTTTACCTGCATTATTTTTATTTTTCTCTCTCATTTTCTTATCTTCTAACATCCCATACTTCACACCATATTTTCCTCCCAATTCCATCTCACTTAATACCATTATGCAACTTTCTTGATCAGAAAGCATAATTGATTCTAACTAAGAATCAACATTGAACAGATACTACACATTGATCCTGGGTTGAAAAACACAATAGTCGCATATACAAACAAAGGGAAGAATCATGTAACATTATACTTTAAGATTATATAATATCTCCTTTTGTGGGTTAATTTTGATAACAAAACTATTCCCTTCTTAGTTGAACATGCAAAGATATCAATCAAGTTTAAAATACTTAAATAGTATTCTCTCTGATTTACAATTCACATTATTCATTACACCACCCACACATTCAAGTACCTGGTATTTCCAAGCAGTCACCCATCTAGATACTGACCAGGCTCAACGTTGCTCAACTTCGGTGATCATACAAGAACCAGTATTTCAACGTGATATGACCTTTAGCTTAAATAATATTCTTTTTTGAGGAGGACTGTCTGCAAAGGAACCAATCTTAATTATCTTACTACAACAAACTGATTTTACACAGTAGAATTTCAAGATCATTTATATTCAATATCAATACAATCAGGGCAGAAATTTCTTCCTCTTCTCCTCCCTCTAAATCTTTATTTAAAACAGGACTTGGACACAGTGAGACTAACTTACAAATGATTTCTGGTTAAGTCATACAGTGAAAACACTACTTATCTGATCAACAAATTTGATTAGTCTTTAGATTGGAGATTATTTAGAAATATCAAGAACTGTAAATACCTTTGTAGCCAGCCTAAGCAAACCTTAGAAAATATTAAAACAACAAAATCAATTGATGAAGAACACTTTTCAGAGCTGCTGCATTACCATAAAAAAAAAATCTTCATGCCTGACAGATGTGTTTTTTTGGGGTTTTTTTTTACCTTAAATACAAAAAAACAAGTTTACTTGGATTAGACTTTTTCCCTAATTGTGTGATTCAACATTATCTACAAAGTTTTCCAAGAAATATGACTCAAGATAAACCTTTCTAAAACAGAAACTATGATCTGGAATTATAATTATAAAGCAGTGAGAGCACCTACTCTGAATCTATCATAAAAGTTCAGGATGTGGAATTAGTGAATACTAAACACTTCAGGTATCTCAGCATATGGATTAGTTAGAACACGTTTAGTATCAGAGAAAAAGAAATTGAACACAGAATAGGCTGCACTAGAGAAAGTTTCATAAAACACTGCAAATTGCTACAAAACCAAAACATTCACCTGAAAACTAGAGTCATGTTCTTAAATAGCCTTGTCAGATTATTTTGCATCAAGATGTCATGCATGGTAGCAAAACCCATTCAAAATTAGGTAAACTGCTTTCTCAGATCAATGGTTAAAAATGGCTTTTTTGCAAGTGAAACATTTGGGTACTGGTGAAGACAACCCTTCTTTAGAATTTGTGGTTTGGTGCTACAGAATCACAAAGAACTTTTACCAAATAACAGAAAAAAACCACATCACTTAAGAAATTCCAACAGCAGTAATATATCCAAAATGGATATCACATTAACTTGAAGAGAAAATAAGACTTCAAACAAAAAGTTAGGAAGGAAGACACCATCAGTCATGGAAAGTACAAGAACTGCTATTGGACTTGAGAAAAATATTTTTTATAAAAACTGTTTTAAGGAGAAAGATTTTATAAATGTCAACTGACAGTAGTAATTGCTGCTCAGTCAATGAATGTCAAATGTTTCCTTAAAAGGAAATGGCTAATATTAACATTATCATTTTGTAAGAGAAAGGAAATTGAATTATGAACAGAGTTTGATTTGAGATGTTTTTAGCAGTAAAATGTTTTCAGTCACATTTTAGAGTGTTTATCTTTGTTTTTATTAACACATTTCAGCCATTGTAATCTACAACCTTCATAAAGTGATTGTCAATCAAGTTAACCTTCAGGGGAATTTCAAATTGAACCCTTCATTTAATATACAAGTGTAAATTTTTGTTATTCAGCAAACCATTTCTAGGGATACCCCATACTGCTCACCCTGACTTCCACTGAATCTAAGTCTGCACTGCTCAACCCAATAGAACTCACAATTAAACTAATACTTTAATCCACTAAGCTATTCTCCCATGGGACAATCCTGAGTGTAGTACCTTGAGCCTTAAACCTAATCTGTATGCTAACATTTTAGAGGTTTATTACAGAGAGCCAACTTTGACAAAGTTATATTCATGAATGTATAACAAGATGAACAAGCAAACACATACACTAAAATATTTTACAACAAATAGCTATAAAGCTACTATTCAAGTGGATCATAAATGGTCTTCTGGTAAATATAGAAGCATTGAGTAAATATGTGCAGCATTCTAGACAGATACTGATGTGCACATTGTCATTAAATTATCGAAACAACTTTGTTATCAGCAAAATAAAAGATTCTCTCCAAATCATTTTGAAGATTATAAGTTACATCAATAAAGAATGGGAACTGGCAGAACTTCAATCAAAGAAACAAGAAGATGGCGAGCAATATTTGAAGAACTCATTTTCACAAACAAAATTCTAGTAACGAACGTCACCAACCAGTTAATTGGTGTAATACTTCAATATTGTCATCAATCCATATTTTATAAAAAAATTACAAAATCTGCCCTTGCACATGGCTCTTTAAGGGTTGAATATAAAATTTTGCTATTGAGCAACTTTTAAGAAAATTTATTTGCTGGTCTGTGCCATTAGTTATAAAAATTGTACATTATTGTAAAAAAGAAAAAAAAAAACAAAAGGTAATTTCTATTAATAAAACTAACATTATCATATTTCATTTGGGCTTGTCATGTCCTGTATTTTCTCACTGAAATTATAAATATGTTTTCTGCAGCCAACTCAAGCAAACATCAAGAGAACAGGACACACATGCCAATATGGCAGGGCACTTGATTAATCATCAAAATCTAAACAATACAGAAGTTTAATAATTGTTTCATTTGATAAACACAGATGAAATAAAATTTACACCTTTAGGATTCTACCAGTAAATCAGCAAAATTATTTCGTGATTAAAAAGAAAATAGAATAGATAGTTGAAGTCAGGTGTTTACATACACACCTAAGAAGCCACATAAATTAAATAAATTAAATCATTTTTTAATTAAACAGTTTTTTTATAAAATTTTTTTCAACATTCAATCTAAATAAAGATTCCCTGTCTTGAAGTCAGATAGGACTGCAATTCCAAGAATGCAATGCAAATCACAATAAATTAAATAAACAAAGATTTCTTTTAAATCCCTTATGCCTGCAAAATATGTTTAATAATTAAATTTATTAACAACCACATTAGGAAAAATATTAAAAAATTATCTGAACAATTAATTAATACTCTAAAAATTACATTTCACAATCTCCTTAAAATGAGAGACGGACACAGACACATGAAGAGCGTGTGTAATTTTCCCGTAAATGCTTAGCGTGTTTAATTAATTCATTTTATGCTAACAAAAAGCAACAGCTTTCAAATTTTCCTCAGTCAACTTGAAATACGTACACATCAATTCCATATAAAACACACACGCAATTTAACAAACAAATATTTATTTGCGTCTTTTTTTTTCCATTTTTCTTTTAGAATTCTTTCACAAAATTGAATTATTTCAACATTAATCCATGACAGATTGTCGTACGGATACAATATCAGCTTTTAAGCAGGAAATAAGTTTGTTTTTTTAATCTAGAGAATTCTTAGAAGGTTTTTATATATATACATATATTCCTCGAGAAATTTGATGCATTTTTAAGTAATTTGCATTTTACAGCAGAGTATTTTTATTAAAAATTTATTGACAAGTTGATTTAACTAAAAAAAAAAATAGTACGCAGTAAGAAAATTAATTAATTAGAAAATAAAACTTTTTCAATGTTCAAATCCTTTTTTGTTTTTGCAAATAATCAAAAAGAAATTATCTTATTCTATTTACGTTCAAACATCTGCAAAATGAAACAAAAATGAGCTAACTATACAAATAAATTGTTTTTTCTTTTTTTTTTCAGAGTAGGGACGATTAAAAATAAAAAGTTTTCTATTTATTCACAATAAATAGTTCATTTAAAAAATAAAAACGGTAATCTTTAAAAATTTGTTCAGGATTATTCATTCATATTTTGGTGTAAATTTCGACTTCTTACACATTAATTTGCTTATTTCAGCTTTTTTTTTCCAAATGACAAGAAAAGCAAAAAAATCCTATTGGACTTTGAACACCAAACTCAAAAATATAATTTGAATTCATTGCGCTGAAATGTTTCAGTGAATAGCGAAAAAAAAACGAGCGTGTGATTAGAAGTATTCGATAAAGTAAATAAATAAATACTTACCACGCTTAATAGTAACGAGGCTCATCGTTGGTGGAGATATACCAATCAATGATTTCACTAAGCAGCGACAGCAGCAGCAAGGAAACTCATGTTACTAACAACCGTACACGTAGACACGACACCGTCAGTTAACGACCAAGGCAAGCGGATACGGAACCGGTGTAAGGCAGAATATCGTTAGCAATTAATAAAATGGATTAATTTTCTCTGTCATTCTTAAAATAAAAATAAATGTTTTTTTTTTTTTGCATTTTTTTCCCCCAATAACCGCTGATGGTTAGTTGACAAAATCTAAAATCGCGGCCATAATTTGAAAGTTAAAATTTATATGTATCGTTTATTGTTTTAATATTTTCATTAAGCGGACCAACCATCACTAATGATCGTAGAACATTTTTCAATATGTTTTTTTTTTTTTGTATGACTGCTTCTAGAGAGCTTCTCAGTCTGTCAGGAAAACTTTCTACAAAGTAATTAAATTCTTCAGAATTTCTTTCAATTCCCCCAAAGAGCCATTGTTGCACTCGGCTGCGATTATATTTTCTTTTTACAATCAATGATTCATCAATCTCAAGTGTTCAATATATTGTTTAGTTTGGATCCCCAATCTTATCAACACTGTTCATTTTTGTTTTTTTATTTTATTTTATTTTTTTTATTTTTTTTTTTTTCAGTGAAATAACAACACTTGTTATGTGGTGTTGGAGACACGAGAGACAGTAGTAATATTGAATAAAGTTGTAAATTTGGAGTCAAATATAGAACAAAAATTTACAATGATTTCAGATTTCAACCGGCTCGAGTAGCCATTGGTTAAAAAATCACGTTTATCAAAACAATTTATTGTAGTAGAAAAAACACTTCTGCTTTTCTTTCCTCTTTCTTCACCTTCAATTGACCCCCCCCTCCACTCCTTGGTGGAGGAGCTTTGCACGCAGAGTGGCAATGTTCAGGTTTCCGTAATTATTTTTATTACCTTCATCCTTTCCCTCAAACTACCGAGAGCCGAAATTTACTTGGAGAAAAAAAATTGAACAATTCACACTTAGACTGGCAAAAAGCTACACTCATTGGATACTCATTAAGTATAAAACTTACTTCAATAGCAAATATCATTATCTGCAAAAATACTTTTTTCCAAATGTTCATATTGCTAAAATTAGGTGTCACCAAAATGGATACTTTTTTCTCCATTGAAATCCAAAAATCGACACCACTTATTTTATTAAAATATTTGCCAAAAATCAGGGAAGTATCCGATTCAAACGAAAGCCAAAAAAAAAAAAAAAAAAAAAAAAACAGGGAATTTTCACAATTTATTCATTAATGAATTAAGATTTTACAGGATATAGCCTATTTTATTTGGAAAAAGAAAACTTGAGCTGATGACAACACCGCCCAGTATGTTGACAGGTGGCCTTTCGTTCCTGTGTGGTAAGGTGGGTTGAGCCGCGCTGGAGTCACGGTGGTGACGACATTCGATAAATCACGGTGGTTATCGTCGAGAGCCTGGCGCTGTCGAAGTTGGTCTGTCGGCCACATTCCGCGTATGAAGAGTCGGGTGAGATGAGTGAACCTTGGGCGAGGTCACGGTTGTGATGAGAGAAGCTATCATGGCAGTGACGGCGACAACGAGTCTGCAGGTGGCCATTCGTTACAAGGAGCCTTCTTTTAAGCAAATCTGGTAGTCCCCAGTAGTTTCTTTTTTCGTCGGGAACGTTCGTGATTGGCTATTGTATTATTTTTTATTGCGGGAATTTGTTTTGTGGACAGGATGTAATGCTCATAGCGTGTTTCTTTCCAGGTAAACTGATATCTAACTGGAGTCACAGTGGTGACGACATTGGATAATACTTCAAATGTAACTAGTAACAACATCTCAAGAAAATGGAGAAAATTTGGTATCATAGTGTTATCAATGTTATACTTCACTGCAATTAGATCTCTTTCTGATTCACTTTGTATGTCGGCCGAATGTGTGCATCAAGAAAGCAAAACACGAAATTTAAAAAAAAAAAAAAAAAAAAAAAACTCAAACCAGATTACCTTCTTGGCCCGACATGACTGATTTTTCATAATTTCAACGCTAAGAAAAAACGTTCGTTCTCTGTTTCCTTTTTCGTCAACAGAATATGTTTTTCTGATTTCTCAAGAAAGAAATAAAGCCATTGACCTGAATCTGTTTTCGTCCGCATTCTCACCGAGGAAAATGTACTCTCTCTCTCTCTCTCTCTCTCTCTCTCTCTCTCTCTCTCTCTCTCTCAACCAGTTTAATGTTTAACCGCCTCAGTGTCACAGAGTTAATATTATCAATAACAACGAAAAAAGAAAAAGGAAAAACGAAGAACTGAGGGAAGACAAAGAAATAGATTATATTATCTAGAATTGCGACACTTGACAAATATAGAGATGCGCTAGCACTCTTAAGTCAGGTAGGACCCATGCAGCCCTAGCAGAAAGTAACAGCAGATCTGTGCCATCATAAAACTAGGGACAATCTCATTGTTGTGGATGTATACACTAATTACCTAGATGTATACCAAATACTGTCGCAGAATTGTGGAGATGTGATTAAAGTTATGCAACACAGCTTTTGCAGATTCGGAGTCCCACAAGAAATATTCTGTCAGTAGAATACCAACAATTTGTAACAAAGTAGGACTTAAAAATCACATCATCATCATCATCCCCACATTACCCTCAAGAGAATGGAATCACTGAAAAGACGGTGAAAACCATTCTACAGAAATGCGAGAATCCATCGCTTGGATTCCTAATCCATCGCAGCACGCCAGACGATCACGAATCGTCACCTGCGAAAATGTTGATGGAGATAAAGTTAAGAAGATATCGACCCAATAACAAATAAACAAAAAGAGCACCAAATAGAAAACAAAGATCCAAATAAGGGCCAGACGGGGGTGGGGGTTGCTCAGGAACTAAAAAAATAAATCCAGGAGATGCAGTTTGTTTTTTGTTTTGTTTTAGGGCATATCAACCTCAATGTGTTATTTAATGCCGATAAGCTTTTTATTGCTGGTAATATTTTTGTTCAAAAATGTATTGCTTGTAGATACAGTTTGTATCCGAGACCCTGAAGCATAACAGGTGGAAGGTTTGGTTTGTTTTGTTTTACGGCATATCAACCCCAATGGGTCATCTAATGCCGACAATTTTTATTGCTGGTAATACCCTTTTTTTTCAAAAATGCATTCCTGGTAATATTTTTTTTCTTCAAAAATATATAGCTGGTAATATCTTTTCTTTTTTTTTTCTTTTTTTTTTCAAAAATGTATTGCTAATAATAATTTTTTTACAAAGTGTTTCTTGTATTAAAACCTATTTTTACACTTTCATAGTGTTTTGACCCCCAGTTTGGGAGTTAACTATTTGCCCATAGCTGGGACACTAACAGGTGCTACCACCCCGAGTCAGGGTGGACCTGGAAACACCAGCAATTAAGGGGTGGTTCCACGCTCCTCAAAACCTCCTGATCAGAGGCCTTGCAGTTGGACGTAGTTTATCGTCTTACCCAGGACGCGGATGTAGTTTATCTTCTTACCCAGGACGCGGATGTAGTTTATCGTCTTACTCAGGACGGTGGATGGAAGGGGAATCAAGGGCAGTGCAAGCAGAAGTAACGCCCGGATCATTTACCGTTCGTAAATTTAGGAACTGATTAACTGGATTTTGTAAAACTATTACTAATTTTTTTGTTTAAACCATAATGAAAATAATATTTATTTACGCACGGTAGCTTGTGAGCTGTCATCGATGTCATAGGTCAACGACAATAGTTTTCTATTGTAATCTCTGACTTAAAATGCATCGAAAAATTAAAAAATACGGAACTATTCCTTTGCAGTCTAGGATTTAACTGATTAATTTTGGCAAAGGTGGACCCACTGTCTCCTTTATCAGTGACATGCCTGACTTTTGTCAGCGATAAGCTCGGCGCATTCGTTCTTGAGATACATAGTCCCAATGGGTGATAGAATAGGAGTCATACAATTTCTGGGAGCATGTAGGAGTTAGCTCCTCCTTAATTCCCTAATTGTTCACTAGGGGACGCTCTCACTACACTATAAATACTGGGCGACTTCTTGCCTCGTTCTTTTTTTCACTTTGCATTTCAGCGGACACATTTAAAAATGTGATCTCTCGTAGAGACCCGCGTTTTCGCCCACTTGTGGATAAACGCCATGAAACACACATACACGTACGTACGAATATTCACCAAAATACAAACTCTTTACGTTCACACACAAACACAAATGTTGATGTCTTTGTCACTTGTAAATTTGTTGCTTAATACATATATTTGTTGACATATACATATCGGTCTTGCTTGTTTTCTTTACATCTTCGGTTGGATTCAACTTGAGTCCGCCATTTTCTTGTAGTTGGACCTTCTTCTAGCAGGAATAAACAGTACGTGTTCCTAATTTAACAACGCGTAAACCAACACGGTCCTCTACAAGCACGTCACTGTAGGTTCTCGAAATATGATTTATAAATCTCTCAATGTGTTTACACCGTAAGTAGCACATGGTATTTTGGTCTGTCAGCCTAATGTTTTTGCAGTTTAACAAGAATAAAAAATAATGTAGTGGATTGGCACCCGAAAGTTGATGGACATTGTCATCAACAACTACAATCGATTTTTTATGAGTCTTGGAATATCATTATCGATGGAAGATTTTCCAAATCACTGAATATCTTTTCTGTTCGGAGAAAGTAAATGAACAAGCGTCAATGCAGACACAGTCTACTTGCGTATCTTATTGATATAATTATTATTGATGTACCTTTATCAATATGAAATGATAACCTTGTGATGATGACCTGAGTTGCCTCAAAAAACTGCTAATTAGTTTTCCGGTAATTAATTGCTGATGCTGATTTGGAGTTTAGTTGAGTTTTATCCGAACAATTACACTCTTGGGATTTTTTCCAAAATGTATCCACGGCATATGTGGAAGCCTTTTGTTTTCATAGAATTGACGAACTCCTGTATATACCTCA